CAACAGGGTTATTTCTTGAGCTAATACTGCTCATCACCCCGATATATCTGTGTTCCATTTATCCGTTTGTACTAAGAGACGGTTTCAGAATCATTTCCCTACTTAGAACGTCAGTTTGTATAAATACCCGTTGAAAACAAAGGGAACCCCAGTAGATCCTACCCTTCCTCTTCAGTGAGCACGAGCGTGAGCTTGAGCACACAGGGGATGTCTAGCATTTATTCGGAACACCTTCAGAAAGCTTATAAAGTTTCCTTTTGTTGTTTCTGTTGCAATATATAAAGTGTTGGATATTTGTGGAGTGATATAAGACAGGACAGGACCAGACCAGACCAGACCAGACCAGACAGGACAGGACAGGGCAGGGCTTGCTTCGTTAAAAATCACATAAACATTTGAAGGCGCTCGGCTTTGTGCAGTAGTCAACCTACCAAACTCTAGCTGATACATTGGTTGTCAGAAATATATCGTTGGAATAAAAACTCTTGATCTACGGATCACCCCTTGGGCTTAGTTCCAAGTCTTGCACATAAAACCCAACTTTCCTTACCCTCTAAGGTCGTGTAAAGCGCCTAGAACGGTTCCGATCGTCTTGAAGTCACCTTTAGCTATAGGCTACTGCATTTGCCTGTAAAACCCAAATTGCCACTGCCTAATACCTGGTAGGAACCCCGAACCTCGCACGTTTGATAGTTGGATTTGTTGGTTGTTGTTGGTGTTGTTGGTTGTTCACTTAAGTGTTCATCTTGCACACTTAATTTCACCAGTGGTTCTATAGTCAGCGTTTCATCGTGATCGGAGGTGTCAAATGTCAAGTGTCCGTCTCAACTATTGTGATCCGTAACCATGGTACACGTGTGGCGTGCATGCACTGCTATCTTTAGCCAGTGCTTCCGTATTCTTCCCATTTCATACCTTCATTGAGAAGCGCTCGTTCTACAAGCGCTGGTGTCACGGGCGCTTTGATCGGCGTTGGAGCGATTAGATTGGGGTCTCATTGTGACAGAGTCTCGGCATTGACAATCAATTATGGCTCGAATGTAACTCCTGTCCTGCTCCTACCATGCGAGCAAACTTGTTAGTAGGTGCCTCTGGGTTAACCTATCGTAAGGACAGGTACGAAGCCGTCGGTGACCAGCAGCTGATCGTAATGAATCCCAGTCAGTATGAGGAAGATGGGGGTTCGACTCCCCCTGACGGCATGGACTGTGCGGCGCAGTTTTGTTCCATTATTCAGGGACACTAATCATCCCTTGTAGCGGACTCCATCCGGCTCAAGAAAGTGTTGCTATCCTCTTGAATCGCCGCATTGACAACTGGTTGTGGGTTCAACCTACCACACCATCCACACAATTCAATCCCCATCTATCCATTCTGTATGTGAGTTCCTGTATTTGACGAGCCGAATCAAAGCATAGCAAGCCGTCGTTGGCCAGAGGCCGGTCCTTCTCGAACGGTTTCGATAAATGGATATTGGCGAGAAGGATGAGGTTCGATTCCCCCGACAGTATATTGGGTAAGGTTGTTTGTTTTGATATCACTGGCATGAGACAGGTTCTCTTTCTGGTAGGCGGTGAATAAACTGAAGACATGATCGAGGAAAATGAGATTCTAAACTCCGAGTCTCCACGTTGATCAACAATAGGTTCAGCTCCTGCCGTGGAATCCCACTGCCTCAAAGACCCCTCTAGTGCCTGTACTGCTGAGTCCATCCCTTTTGCATGCAAATTCTCACCTCAGTACAAAATCCACCGATGGCAGGATACACCCCCGTTGCTGACCAATGGTTGGTCCTTCTCCCAATATGTTGGGTGCTAAAGATGTATGCGATGATAGGGTTTCGATTCCCCTCGACGGAATAAAGGTGGTCCCCAACACTTTTTCAGCATCTGTGCCAGTGATAAGGGGCCTTGGATTCATGGGCATCCTCAATCCCCTGATGAGATTCACATTTTAGCTGGGGCTGCCTCAGGAAAGCTTGCTGGTGTCTTTCCTCGTACATCAGTGCTCCGATCCTCATTTAACCTACCACAATTATAGGATACGGAGCCGTCGTTGGCCAGTGGTCGACTCCCCCTGACAGCATGTCTGGATCCCAATCTCAGCATTTTTGGCAGCTGTGAGGGGGCATGTTTTAAGCCCCGCATACTACGTGATCTGTTGAGATGGGCCAGTCACGCGTCCTATCTGCACAAGCTGTTGAAATACAGCAATGGGCTTCTCCCGTGTTTATCATCCAATAGCATTCCGTTTACAGCCAGATTGTTCTCTGTTGATTCTTACCTCCCATTGTTCGCCCTTTCTGATTACTTAGCTGTAGATACACGACTTGGTATTTATATGGCTCTGTAGCTTGTATTCAATCTAGTATTGTTGAATCCCCTGTGTTCGCTGCAAGTCCTGTATGACTGTCCACTTCCAACATGATCATTCTCAATCCTCTGCCCGAGATGTCAACCCATACTTGCATTTGCGGTTCTAATTGTTTCCAGTTGACGAGCTCCGAGTCGGAGGAGATAATACTGAATACAGAGTTAGACATTCCTATCGCTGTTGGTCGCGCACTGTTTGCAGCAGTTTCGCTTACAGTCTTGGAAGGCGGTGACACAGACATTGAAAGCTTCTATGTATATACTGAATGCGCTGAAATACGAAACTGCACTTACAGATCGCTTCTAAATGCCGGCACCGTGCACTTTCTTGATTGAATAGTGGCTGTGTTTATTTTATCTAATCAATACAAGTATGATGTATGGGTTCGAATCTCTCTCAATGCCCCTTTTATTTCAGGTTCGCAAAATCAGTTCCTATGTTCTACCGTTTTCAGTGGACATACTTCAGCCAGGTCTAGGCTGATCAAATCTAACTACTTACATGTACTGATAGATGACGCGGGATCACAAAAAGACTACAAAAATAAGAAGATGAGTAATAAAAAAAAAGGTTCATAAGTGCGAGTTTGCCGGGCCGGGTCACGGCCTATCACCCCCAAGTACTTATGTAATCATTTTATTGATCAACTCGAAATGAGGTTTTCAAGGTGTCGGTGAATCATGTCCCGTTTTAAGTTTGTAACAAATTTAGGGGCTGTGCTAGTATATTTTGTGGCTGTGTTGAAGTACATTTAGTGGCTGTCCCTTAAATCCTGTTCATATTTCGTCAGCACTTAGTGGCTATGCTTTGTATTTCATAATCAGTGAGCAATCTTCGACTTGGGGGTGATGGCCGTGGCAACGGCCCGGCAAACTCGCACTTTAGTACATTTTTGGGGTGGAGAACCATTTCTTCGCGCATCGTGTGGGCCATGCCAGAGGGAGGGCCTGAAGGAGGTTGTGGGTTGGGTACCCACCTCGGAGAGGGATGTACTTTGTTGGGCATTCCGCATGAGTACCTAGTTCAACGCTAGGCGGAAAGTAGAAAAACCATGCTCCCGCGGCATTCAGACGCCGGGAGTCGAACCCAGTCCTACCATCAGTCGTACCCTATGCTTCTTCCGTATGGAGAGCGGGTGTGTGCCGTGCACCATGTCCGAGCTCATTACCCTGTTTTGGATCTAGGTGAGTGCGAGATTTTGAGGGCTCAGTGCGTGCTGGCGAGCAACTGAGTCAAAGTCAGGTCGAACCGGCAGCTGGGCGACGGGTCGATGGGTTGAGAATTGCGCAAGGGTAGACAAAGGCGTGGTGTGCGGGCACCAGTTGAAGCAAGCACAGAGGAGAGGAGAGACAAAAAGAAAGAGGAAAAAGAGCAGTCTCAATGTGCATTCGGACAGCGGGAGTCGAACCGGCTTCCCGCCAATTTGTCGCGGAGATTTCGTTCGCAGGCGGGCGAGCACCATACATACACCCCATCCGAGCTCTTAGCCTGGACATGTACTCAGTCTCGTGTGCATTTCCTCGTTTCTTTATACATCCTGCGGAAGGAGCCCTAGGAGGATATATAATTCGCTAGCAAACAAGGGACGGACACAGTGGCCACAATATTGAACACGGTCCGAGCGAGAGGAGAGTGAGATTCAGAAATATGTTCTACCAGTTGAGTGCAGGTGTGCACCACTGGGCTTGAATGCCAAGAAGCAGGAGTGCATTTGAACGGCACACTTTCGCCAAAAATATCCTCATCTTACCAATACATTCGGACGCTGGGAGTCGAGCCCAGGCTCCCTACATTCGGCGCTTCAACTGCGGGAATTGAAAGTACGCATGCGCCGCGCACCGTGCACCACAGCCGAGTTGTTGCAGATATTTTCAGTCGGGCCAGGTATGAGTCGTCGTTAAAGCATGGAGTCGTACGCACGTCCGGTTAAATGGGCAATCATTTGGTGGCAAGAAAAATCACGACTCGAAAACTGCCACATTCGGATGTCGGGAGTCGAATCCGGTTTCTCACATGCTCAAGTCTCTTTCGATAACCAAGGAAGGCGGGTGTACGCCGTGCACCACATCCGATTTCTTAGCGTGGATGTGTGTCCGTTTGAGTGCGCCGAATGCGCAGCCGGGACGGAGAGAGATTGCACGCTTCTTCATTGCTTTACTCATGATCGCGGAGGGATCTACCCGAACGTTTCTGGAGACGGGGGATATTAGGGGGCAGGGAATGTAGCATGCATATGTATATAACTCATACCTAGTTAAAATGCTAGGCGAAAAGTGTAAAAGCGATGCTGCTACCGCATTCGGACGCCGGGAGTCGAACCCATGGCCAGTCCTGGGCTTCTTCCGCATGGACAGCGGGTGTGCGCCGTGCACCACGTCCGTGTTCATACCCCTGTTTTGGATCTAGGGCAGTATTAGATTCTGAAGGCTCAGCTCGGACAGCGCGCAACTCGCTGGCTGATTAACATGCAGGTGGGCTATGGTACAGTAGCTGGTGCGATGCTTTGATGAGAATTCGCTTCTGCGCCAAGGTTAGGGAACCAGGATTATCTGGGCGTGGTGCGAGGGAGAACTCGAAGCCACAACAGAGAAGAGACGCACAAAGAAACCCTCGTGGACTCATGCACATTCGGATGGCGGGAATCGAACCCGGCTTCCCGCGGAGCTTTCAAATCGCATTAACGAAGGCGGGCGTGCACCATACACTAAATCCGAGTTGCTGTAGACATTTTCAGGCGGGCTACGTCTGAGAGAGTGTGGGTTGCCCATGTGGTTGGAAGTCGCGGCTCCCGGCGGAGAATAAATCCGGAACGCGGTGAATTGAATATTACGCGAGGGGAGTGTTTCCGCGGCGACAGTAGAGGACGTGCCGCTGAACCAAAAAGCAGGAAGGGCCACGCACGTCCGATTTCCCGACCTTGTTCAAGTACGCAAATAATTTGGCGGCAAGAAAAATTAGGTCGGATGCCGTTCATTCGAACCCGGGTTTCCCACACCTGATTCGGGATATTAGAACTCAACTACCGTTCATTTGTATAGATACCGGAATACCAGAGAAGGCACTAGGGTCAATGAATATCTGAACGCAGCATTGGACCAAAAGCTGTAAGGCCAGTGGTGATATACCACCTTCCAGCTACCGTGGGAAAGTAAACCCGACCAAGTGATTTTGGCGGCCTTTTAATGCAAACGGTCGACTGACAGCAGAAAAACGGGTAAATTTGAGTAGGCATCTAGCTGTGATATACTTGGCTTAAAACCGCCCAAATTCAAGGTGATATTACGAGGCTGGAAGCGAGGAAGGCAGCGGGGAAATCTGCCGAGACCAAACAAAAGACACTGCCACATGATCTACAATGCGACTCAGCGACAACAGGACCGATTTACGAGCTGAAAAAAGGACGAGACAAGAATGGATGCAAGGGATGATGATTTTGTATCTGAAGGAACCCACCAGTGGGCGTAAAAAATGCAAAACAATGTAAACTTGCCAGGGACAAACACAGCCACTAAACTATCACAAAATTTGAAGTCAGTTTAAAGGACAGCTACTATGGCTCCTTCAACACTGCCACTAAATTTGATAGCACAGCCCTTAAAAAGATTACACGCTTAAATTCGTGACCAAAATGTCGCGAGACTTTCAAAACCCCATTTCGATTGATTAAAAAAACGATTACATAAGTACTCGTAACTGTGTTCGATTCTCGCAGGTGTCACTTATTTTTTGTTGTACCTGTGCAAGGAGCTTGATGGGCGGGTCTGTCCAGTAATAACTAAAGCTCTGGCCTGCGTTGCATGCCTGTATTATTCTAGACATGCTGATTTCAGTGGTTCCGTGTGTTCAAGGACTTTGGTTCCAGCATCACATGCTCATGTGTGCTACTGGGGCGAAAAATTAGTGCCTTGCTGCCACCAAGGCTCCTCTGGACCTGAAAATATTCATGGATCCAGTGGATGTCACTATTGTGTCAGAAAGCACTTGCAGTGGTTCCATGTGTTTAAGGACTTTGGTTCCAGCATCACATGCTCACGTGCGCTACTGGGGCGAAAAATCAGTGCCTTGCTGCCACCATGGCTCCTCTGGACCTGAAAATATTTAGGCACCCACTGGGTGTTTCTATTGTGTCAGAATTATTATTCTAGACACACCGATTGCAGTGGTTCTATGCATTCAAGGACTTTGGTTCCACCATCACATGATCACGTGCACTACTGGGGGTGGGAAAATCAGTGTCCTTGCAGCCACCAGGGCTCCTCTGAACCCGAAAATATTTAGATGCCATACCAATTCTCTGGGTGAGCCTTTCTGCGTCATGTGGAGTTGGTGCTGACCATATTGCAGGAGTGGACTCCAGGGGGCAGCTCGGTTACATTGGACCGTTCGAGGAATTGTAAAATTCTGCCGGTATGGCAGACCTGAAGAGGCAGCACATTAACTTTCATGCAGAGAGATACAGTAGCAGAAATATTTATTTACCCCAGGACTTTGATGAGGCATTCACCGAGGGCAAGCTCCTTCTGCTACGTGACCGCCTGGTCCTTTCATAGTTGAATAGTGCTGCCACCACTTGGGACAACAGCCACCATTTGATTCTTGGGGATCGTGTAAGAAGGGATTAGCAATTAATGCAGATGGTCGATGGATGCCCCTAGATATGGCACAACATCTAAGTGGCCGCCGGACCAAATTGTAATGTGTTAAACCAAAGAGTTGCAGGCTTTAAGGCATGGAATGCCGAGCAGCCCGAATCGCATCAACGATGAGCGAGCTGCGGAAGGCAAGCACAGGCGAGAATTCAGCATGCAAGCAATTGGCATTTCAGCATCCAGAGTGATGCTGAGGAGCAACTGTCGTGTGATCTCAAGCCAAGCACATGAACTCCACTCGAGAACTAGGATAAAGGCCGACTATGATGAGAGCAACGGACCACACACACTGGACTGCCCGTACACCGCAGCTGCGTCAATCCGCAGGGAATCCTCAAAGACGTGGCTCAAAATGGCAGTCTGTAATGGAGGATCGAGGGTGGAAGGCCATAAGTAACTTTCTTGATGTGTTTCTGATGTAACTGGTCGGTGGATCGTTTCCAGGTGCGAACATGGGTAGTTTCGCAGCCTTCAGCAATGTACTCTGTGAGATTGACTGCCTGAACAGGTCTGGTAGGTGCAATACTCATATGAAGGGTCAGGAGAACGATTGAGTCGCGATGCCCAAGATGCGAGCGGTTTCATTCCCTTTCGTCTTGTCTCTTATGGCGTCTTTTCGCCCATATCTGTGGAACTTCATGAAAGACTTCATCGCCAACACAACATACTCCCTCTCCCAAACAGGGATGCAATACCACTAGAAAGACATGACCGATGGAGTCGTAGTCAACAGCGCATGGGAATAACCAATTCTGCCAAAAAAGGGGTCTGCCCGAAATTCTCAATCTTTGGAGAATCAAATGGCTGGCCTTGGACCTGACCATGGAGCTAGAACGGGACATCTGCCTGGTGTATGATCGTCAACTTCTGAACTTGGCTAGTGCCCTACAGACACAAGATAGACCATTTACATCCAGTACGTTCCCTGCATATTTGCTACTCAATCTGACTTAATGCAGCATGCAGTCAATTGATCTTGACAACAGACATGGAATTCGATGTGCCTATCAGATGCATATTTTTGGGCAGGGTTATTTTGAAAATATTCGATGAATGCCAGGACAGGTATGATGAGATTTACGAATTGACTGTGGCAGGAGAATTTGTGACCATGAACATTTATTAGCCACCTCACGTATGTAGACGGTTGCCAATTAGAGTTCTTCCCACACTGAAGCGGCTAAGCAGCCTTAGAAAAATCACCAACAGCTACAAATTGATTTGGCAAATCAGACTCACTACCTCCATGACTTGAAACCTTAGCCAAGCACCTTTACTGTATTCTCTACCCTGGTTGCTACTCTCATTTCCGCTTCCTGAACCACCAAAAATTTGTCGGTATTCTCTCCGGCATGAAATGAAGCAAAATTGTCCACTTCAGGCTACCCTTATTACCTACCCTTAGGGATAGATTATTTCTTATGGAATAACTAGCCCTAGGGAGGTGTTTTTCAAGGGTCCTCCCACGTTCTGGGGACGTCCCACTGCTCGGGTGGGGACTTCCCAGCTGTGGTCTTGGGATGTCCCACACGCCGCAGGCAGGCAAGATTTTTGCCTTTTTTGGCAGGTGTGGGACATCCCCTGGCCGCAGACCGAACCGAAAAAACTGCCTTTTTTAGCAGTTAAAGTTGGGTCTATCCCCCATGTAATAAAATATTTTCCCTTCCACAGCTGCTTGGTACCGCTCCGCCCTTGTATGTCAGATGGCTCTGCACCTACTGCTACCACCTTGCCCATGTGTGCCTTGCATGCACCTCCACCCTGCATGTTGTACAGGTGTGCACCGATCACCTCCATCCTGCTCGAATACGCCTCTGTATTGCGCATCAGATGGGCCTGCATGAATGTGCCTCTGCCTTGCACATCAGACGGGTGTGCATCTACCGCCTCTGCATTGTGTGCTGTGGGACATGGGATGTCCCAGTTAGCTATGTAGGATGTCCCACTTCAATCGAGGGGAGTGCCACGGGCACATGTGGAACGTCCCATGAAACCATGTGGGACATCCCACAAAAACACTTGGGACATCCCACACAAACGCCTGGGATGTCCCACTTTAATTGTGGGGACATCCCATTTACCGTAGTGGGATGTCCCCACAGGTGGGAAATCCCTCTTCAATGATGTGGGACATCCCACCTCGGTTCATTGGGATGTCCCACTGATGGGGGAATTCCCCATCAGAACATCACATCTCGGTGGGATGTCCCACCTCTATCTATTTGAAGGCGGGACGTCCCCACCTTTATTTTTTTCAGAGTGGGATATCCCATCCCGAGTGGGGATATCCCTTGTTCCTCACAAAACCTCTGTCTGGAGGCAAATCAGCTTGACTTACACTAAATTACATAATATCAACCTGCATGCTCACTTGACTCAATGATTAATATGCCTCACCTTTACCTTACATAATTTTTCCTCCACTGCCTGCACATTCAACTCGCACCAAGACACTTTATTGTTTTTGTTCTTACTTACCTGAGTGCACGCATGATGGTGTATGTCGCGCCTCTAGTTAGAGGCAATTCAGCTAGTCACCACATGCTGCGGTATACATGTATGCTGCAGATATACTGCAGGGATACTGCAGAGATGCTGCAGCATATGAGTCGAGGGACTTGGAGAATTTCTTGCAGTGCATTATATAATCACCCAACGCGCGCCTCCCAAGGTGCACCATCCCAAAAAGGAAATTATTTTAAAAAAATGATAAATTGTCCCAAAAAAATAAATTGAAGAAACATAAGATTGCCAAATTGTGCCATCAACACTGCTGAAACCTGCCCCTATGTACTGGAATTGACCAGGATATACCCAATGTGTGTGGTCTGATTGTGTGCCTGGCCTGCCATCATACATGATCCTAAAATCACGTAAAAATAACCATTAAGAAGAGAAAAATAAACTGACCGGGATGCACCTAACGCGCCATGTGCGCTGCGGACACCCGCCCTGTGCGCTGGAATCTGATCCCGTACCTGGTCTGCATGGCTCCGCCACCAGACATGATCCTGAAATCATGTAAAAATAATGATTAAAAACAGAAAAAAAAACTGACCAGGATG